AGAGAGAGAGGAGGGGAATGAGAGGGAGGGAAAGAGAAAGACAGAGAAAGAGAAAGGGATGAGGAGGAGGAAGAGCGAGAAAGAGAGAAGAGAGGGGGAAGGGGGAAGCGAGAAAGAGAGAGGGGGGAGGGAAAGCGAAAGAGAGAGAGAAGGAGGAGGGTGAGAAAGAGGGAAACCGAAAGACAGAGAGAAACAAAGGAATGAGGGAGAGGAAAAGCGAGAAAGAAAGAGAGGGGGGGGAGGGAAAGCGAACGACAGACAAAGAGGGGGGGAGGAGAAAGAGAGAGAGAAAGAGAGCGTGCGAGAGAAAGAGAAGAGAGAGAGAGGAGGGGAAGGGACTTCTGTATGTACAAAAGACGATTATAAATGCAGTTATACCTGCCAACATACTGTGCAAACATACATAAACATACGTGCATACATACATGAATGCATACGTTTATACATACAAGTACATAGTCTCTTCCCCCCCTCTCTCGCTTTCTCGTTTCCCCCTTCCCCCTCTCTCCTCTCTTTCACATGCGTAATTACAAATGTAAATGTATTTATTAAATCAAGCATTCATACATGCAAACAAACCAAACAAACATGTGCGTATTCATGGTTATGCACCTCTGTGTACCTGCGCCCTCCCTGTTATTCATCGCCCGCGCATCGCCGGCCCTTTCGCCGGAGCGCCAGGGAGGCAGAGGCTGCGAGGCGATGCCACCGCTTCCACCTCGGCTGGAAGGTCATCATGGAATATTCAGAAAGGCCGGCGCTGAGCAAGTGCGGTCCCAGGCCCCGCAGAACAACGGGGGAGTTGGGGCGTAAGCTGGACTTGGTCCTGAAGTGCGCCTGCGTTCTCTCTCTCTCTCTCTCTCTCTCTCTCTCTCTCTCTCTCTCTCTCTCTCTCTCTCTCTCTCTCTCTTAATCTTTCGCCTCTTGTGTGTGCGTAGGGAACGCGAGAAGACACGTCGCATTATTTTTCTTTAATTCTATTTTATGCCCAAACGTCTTTGTGTTTGTTTATGTGTGTAGTTTGTCTTGTTTGTCAGCTTAGCTAAATGTTTGTTTTTTTTTCGTATGTACTGTATATGTGTGTAGTTTGTCTTGTTTATCAGCTTGGCTAAATGTTTTTTTTTTTCCGTATGTACTTATAGTATGTATGTTAATATTTAGGTATGTGTATAGGCAGGTGTATGTCTGTATCGAAAGGAGAGGTGTAAATCTATGATATATTTTTTGTTTGTTTACTCAGATACATGCGTTTGTGTGTCACAAAGAATGCTCGTCTTCATTAAGAAGAGTAGGCAGGAAGTACCTAGCTCGATGTTGCGTTAGAGCCTTCTTCGAAAAAGTGTAAAACTCCATAAATGTTGGGATTTGGGGCAAGACAGCGCAATTATTCAAATCCCCCTGTGTCATAACCCCCTGCGGAATGTCAGGGAAAGTCGCCTTTATGAACACCAGCGAAAGAGGTGGTTCCATCTCAACCTTCTCATATGTTGAAATCAAAGCCTAGTGCACCAGGGAAACCAAAACTCCTTTAGGGCGAAAGACGCGTACGCAGTAGGTAGACTGACGGCGTTGTTTGCGAAGATTATCATAAACTTAAGGAGGTTTTAACTCCATCTTTGACCTTCCCCTCGCCCCCGTCGCCCCCCCATAACACCCACCCTTCCTCTTGCCTTTTTTTCTTAGCAATTGCAAATATGTTTGCAAAATTATATCAAGAAATACATATGCATGTAGAGGCCATAACTTATTTGTAACGAATAAGGATTTGTATGGGCGGGGATGTTCATAGTGCATTCGTTTATTCTTTTCCTCGCACTTTTGCAATTTTACCCCATCCCAACTTTATTGATTAATAGTTCTTGATTATTTTCGTATCTGTCTTCACAGTAAATCAAATAATTTATATTGCTAAACGGGTACTACTGTTGTTATGGAAGCTATTAATCTCGTTTCCAAAGTATGTACAAACACACACACACACACACACACACACACACACACACACACACACACACACACACACACACACACACACACACACGCACACACACACACACACACACACACACACACACACACACACACACACACACACACACACACACACACGCACACACACACACACACACGCACACACACACACACACGCACACACACACACGCACACACACACACACACACACACACACACACACACACACACACACACACACACACATCGCATCTCCAAACACACGTACATATAAATCGATAAACAAGGAGAGAAAGAGAGGGAAAGATGTACACAGGTAGATAGATAGATATAGGTAAACAGAAAGATCATCACAATAAATACATGCAAAGCGTTTATGATAACGAGTGGGGTATCTGCTTTTAGTTGGTTTCCGTAACTGTTCAACTTAACTTCTCCGCCTCACATTTTGTTCGCCTCTTTACTCGAGGCACTTCCTTGGAGCCGTTACTAAACAGAAGCTGTGATTACGCGTGGCTTCCTGCTGTTGACACCCTGACCTGCCTGGCGAAAGGGCGTTTGCGGCCTGCCCTCTTCAGATCGTTTGCTCTTCTCCTGCCAGCAAACAGACCCCTAGATCTCCCTCCTGGCTGGAGTCTTGTTCCTTCTTCCTCGCCCCAACAGGAATTCCTTGAGGGAAGCGAGTCCTTTGGAAGCAAAGCAAGATAGCCGACCACTTGGATATAGTGTTTCTTAAGCACGATCTTCACCTATATCACAAAACTATCGCATTAAACATTATTCGGATTCTAATATACAGAGCTAAGGAAGTGCATACTTGTGGCTGGGAATTGCGATAGGCAGGTCAGGCAGACACTAAGATGTGTCTACATACAGCCTGCTTATATTTCCTAGTTTATTATTCGTGTCTCCCTCTCTCTCTACGTGTATCAGCCTTTCTCTTACACTCTTACATATACACATCTCTCTCTATATATATAGTATGATAGATACATTATATATATATATATATATATATATATATATATATATATATATATATATATATATATATACATATATATATATACATGTATACATGTATACATGTACACATGTATACATGTATACATGTATATATATATATATATATATATATATATATATATATATATATATATATATATATATATATATGTATGTATGTATGTATATAAATATATATATATATATATATATATATATGTGTGTATGTGTGTGTGTGTGTGTGTGTGTGTATATGTGTATATATGTATATGTATGTGTGTATATATATATATATATATATATATATATATATATATATATATATGTATATATGTATATATATGCATATATATGTATATATGTGTGTGTTGTTCGTCCTTCGTTTTCGAAGATGACCATGGCATCAGTTGGTAGATGAGGTTGAGCTGGCTTGGTGTGTCCGGAGATGACTGATGAGGCCGATCCGGGCAAGGAAGCCCCTTCCACAGGTAGGGCAGAAGTGGGTATGGGCTTTGCGTTTGTTGCTGATGGCTCTGGCCTTGCGTGCCTCTCGTTTCGTCTCTGCTTGGAGAGACCTTCGCTCCTCTGCCGTGGTTTCCCCTTTGGCGATGGTAGGTAGGTCTATCGGAGGCCAGTGACTCCCAGGATTCTGAAATGATGTTAAAGACCTTGAGGGAGACCTTTAAACTGTCTTTGTAGCGTTTTCTCTGCCCTCCGACTCTGCACTTGCCCTGGCATAGTTCACCGTAAAAGAGTTGTTTTGGGATGCGGTGGTCCGACATGCGGGAGACGTGGCCTGCCCATCTCAGCTGAGACTTGCGAATAACGGTGGTGATGCTCGAGAAATTTGCCAGTTTCAGGACCTCTGTATCGGGGACTTTGTCCTGCCAGCGGATGTGAAGGAGGTTTCTAAGGCAACTTAGGTGAAAGTGATTCACTTGTTTTTCTTGCCTTCTGTACATTGTCCAGGCTTCACAACCGTAGAGGAGGGTGGTGAGGATTACTGCCCTGTACACTTTCAGTTTCGTCTGGAGGCTAATCCCTCGTCTCTCCCATACATTATTCCTCAGTCTTCCGAAGGTACTGCTTGCTTTGGCTATTCTGGCACTGATTTCTGAGTCAATGTTGGCATTTCGGGAGAGGGTGCTTCCCAGGTAGGCAAAGGTCTCTACTGCCTGGAAGGTCTGACCATTCACTGAGATCTGCGGCTTGTGGTATTGGTTGCCTGGAGCTGGTTGGAACATTACCTCAGTCTTCTTGGTGCTGATGGTGAGGCCGAAGTTGTTGCAGGCTGTGGAAAAGCAGTCCATTTCTGCTTGCATCTCTTGTTCATTGCCAGCGTTTAGGGCACAGTCATCAGCAAAGAGGAAATCTCTGAGAATTGTCCCTTTCACCTTCGTGACAGCTTTAAGTCTCCTGGGATTGAACAGCTTTCCATCAGTCCTAAACCTGATTTTGATATCAGGTTCGCAGGCTCTAAAGGCGTCGGCAGCATAGCCGAAAACATGCTGAATAGTGTTGGAGCCAGGACACAACCCTGTTTGACTCCGTTGGTCACTGGGAAGGCCTCAGAAGGTTCGCCATCATCCAGAACTCGGGCCATCATACCATCATGGAATTGGCGAACTATTCCAGTGAACCTGGTGGGGCAGCCAAACTTTTCCATGATTTTCCAGAGTCCATCTCGACTGACCGTATCAAAAGCCTTTGTCAGATCAACGAAAGTCGTATAGAGGTCATGGTGCTGTTCCATGCACTTTTCTTGAAGTTGACGGGCAGCAAATATCATGTCTACAGTGCCTCGACCTGCACGAAAGCCACACTGACTCTCTGGGAGGTGACCTTGCTCCAAGTGTTCCAGTAAGCGGTTGAGGAGGATGCGCGCCAGGATTTTGCCAGCTATGGACAGGAGCGATATTCCTCTATGGTTGTCGCAGGATTGACGGCTTCCTTTTCGCTTGTAGATGTGGACAATCGTGGCATCCCTAAATTCTTGGGGTAGAAGTTGTTTGTTCCACATTGT